TAATTGTAGGAACGTTATTCCTCTCTTTATATGTTATTTGTCTATTTCCCACACACACGTTCATTCATTCGTATAAAATACAAAGTACATTATAATATAGAATTTGATATATTATTAGATCGAATGTTTTTTTTATCGTTGCTACAATACGCTTATAAATGTAAAATAAATTTAATTATGTGATCGGACAATATGCATAAGCTTTACGTAAGATTAAATATGAAATATTCATAGAAAATATATAATACTAAAATGTTAACATGAAATTAAAAAATTAAAAAATAAGAAAAATAATAAAACAATCTTCTCCTTCACTCTTCCATGGGGAGGGGTGTTAATACTTCAAAACGCGGACTTTCTTCCTCGAATCCCACCTCCTCTTCAGCTGCGACATCCGGTATCTTTGCTTTTTCGGGCTGTAGATTATCCCGCGCTTCCATCCATCTTTTTACTATTTGTAATGCTTGTTCCGCAACGGACGACGAAGCTTGACGTCGGCTGCCGACATCAGCCGAAACCGGCTCAGGCTCTGATGTCGGTTTCAAGCTTACTGTTCAAATTCTATTCATCGGATCGCGTTTTGGTAAAGAACTTTTCGTCTTAGAAATTCACGGAGAATATGCTGGTTTCTGGCGGTACGCCAGTTCTGGGACACCCTGTAGATCTATAGATCTATAAAGGCCATCACACATAAAATCCCGTAAGGTCGTAAGACGTAAGCGTAAGAAAATCGACCAATCCCTATTGAATATTAGGTTGTCCGTAACCCCACCACTTTTGTCCGCAAAACGTAAAACGTAATGTCGAAAAATTCCGTAAGGATGAAATTCTTACGGCGTACGGCTATGGCCAACCAATCACGAAGCACGAGATACATACTTTTTAAGTTTAAAATGTAACGTCAAACTAGTAAGGTTATGTGTACATACAGCATCCGCAGCAAAATGAGTGATCACAGTCAATATTGTAATACTGCAGTTCAAGAATTAGGAGATGATGAATTAGTTCACGACAATGATAACTTAAAAGAAAGTGATGAGCTGCTTATTGATGCAGTGAGAGCATACCCGCACCTGTATAACCACCAAGACCGGAATTTTAAAGACCAAATGATGAAAGAGAATTCATGGAAAGAAATATCCTTGGCTGTGAACATTCCAGGTAAACATTAAGTATATTATTTATGTACATAAATTATTGTAACATGTAATTATTTTAATATATTCTCTACCTCTTTTTTTTATTTCATTCTTTATCAACAATAAAATGAATAATTTCCTACTGTAGTTTCTGATTGTCAAAATCGGTGGATAAGGTTGCGTGAAAGATTTGGAAAAGAGAAGCGCCAACGAGAGTTAGATTCAAGGAGTGGCAGTGGAGTTTCTCGACGAACTGGTTTTACTTATTATGAAAATATGTCATTCCTAAATGATCACATTAAAAGAAGAAAGTAAGTTTGTCGCTCAATAATCTAAATCAATCATTTTTTATATTTTGCTGTCTTACAATTCCATATATATAATATTGTCTTATTTCTGTAGGACCCACACAAATATTTCAAGTTCAAAAATTCCAAAGACTGGAGAGGTTCACACACACGTTTCATTGGGCACAGCTTTATCAGCGATTCAAATGCAGCCATAAATAAATAATGAAAACGTTACAAGAACAGAAGCCCAAACACCCAATATCCCTTTACAACTCTCCAACACAGGAGATGAAGGATTCATCTCATCATGTACAAACTTTTCATTACCATTTAAGAAACAAATTTTGCAACACGCTGGCACTACTTCATCAACTATTTTATTAGAAAATAGTCCCTCAACATCAAGTAGTATATCTAGGCGTTGTACAGATACACCTTGCAATCTAAATGAATCTGATGAATCAACCAGAAGCTCACTGTTTTCACTCAGAGAGTCCACGCCTTCTCCAGTA